GGTTGGTTGGTTGGGCAGGCACACGCACGTGTGTGTGTGTGTGTGTGTGCGTGCCGGGGAAGCCGGGAGCAGCTCGCCCCGCCCCACGTGCCCTTCCACCTTTTACGACCCTCGCCGAGACACGCGCGCCTTCACTCCCTCCTCCTCCTCCTCCTCCTTCGCTTCCCTAGCCAAAGAAAGAGGCCGGGAGAAGTCACTCAGGCGTCCCGAGCTGAAATCTGGGCCAGGGGAAGGGCGAAGAAAGAGAAAGGGAGGGGAGTGTCTTACTCCCTTTCCTCCTCCTCCTCCTCCTCCTCCTCTTCCCTCCTCCTCCTCCTCCTCCTCCTCCTCTTCCCTCCTCCTCCTCCTCTTCCCTCCTCCCTTTCGTTTCCTGGTTCGTTGGAGCCAGCCAAGCCCCCTCTGCGAAAGCCCCCTAGAGGCGTCCATCCTTGTTCCCCCCCCTCCCCAAACACACTTGCCTGTCTGCCTCTCCAATGTCCCCCCCCCACAGCCCCCACCCCACTTCCGCGGCTGCTTCTCCAGCCGCCACTCCCCCTCCCCCCCCCCCCCCCCCCCCACTCCGTCCCTGGTGACAGATCCTCTGGGCCCGGAGCAGTAAGGATGGAGCTTGGCCGTTTCCGACACCTTCTTTTTATAACTCGGGTGCCGTCCCCCCCTCCGCACGACCTGTCAAGAACCACGCCTCTGGAGCCACCCAATTGGTCCGAAAGCGTCAAAGGGCCAATCAAGGCGCCCGCCGCCCCGCTCGGCAGCCCCGCGAAGGCCACCATACAACCCGGCGCAGCGAAGCGGCAGGGCTTAGAGAGGCTCACACCCGCGCGCAGCACGCCCGCCCTGCCACACCGGCGCACTCTCTCTCTCTCTCTCTCTCTTACACACACCCACCCACCCACACACACACCCCGCCAGCAGAGCGCGCGCTCGCTCGCTTTCCCTCCCTCCCTCCCTCCCTCCCATCCATCCACACTCGCGAACGCGCGCGCACCTTTCTTCCCTCCCCTCCCTCCCTCCCTCCCTCCCTCCCGGGCGCGGGACTCGGGGAAGCCGAGCGCGGCGGCGCTTCCTCTGGCTGGCTGCTTTGCAGAAGCCGAGGAAGGGAGGAGGAGAGGAGGAGGGTGCGGGGGGAGGGAGGGAGGAAAGGAAGCGCCCGACTTAGCAACAAACTCGTTCCGGCTTCCTTCGACTGCGCAGCCCAGCCGAGCCGTCAATTTCATTCTCAAGGCTTTGCCCCAACCATCACCTCCCGAGTTCTTTCCTCGCGGGAGTGGCGGGGAGAAAGAGGGGGGGGAGGGCGTCTCTCACACATACCAGGGGGGAAGGGGGGGGGGGGGGGGGGGGGGGAGAGGCCAGAAGGAGAGGCGAACCAGCCGGCTGGAAGGAGAAGAGAACGCCCGGAGACCGAGAAGGAAAGGGCTGCGGGGCTCCGGGAGAGACACAGCTGCGCGGGGGCTGGAGGAGGCGCCAGCTTTTGGAGGATCCCGCAGTTTTCCTCCCCGCCGGCTCTCCGGCTTTCCTCGCCCCGTTCGGACGCTTCGGTGAGAAGCCGCGCCGGCAAGCTGGAACAGAATGGCCTGGAGCTGAAGAAGGACTAAGTTGAAGCGGGAGGAGAGAGCCCATCCCGGCGAGGGAAAAGGGAAGGGAAGGGAAGAAGAGGAGGGTGGGGGAGAGAGAGAGAGAGAGAGACCAGCAGCCCCAGACCTCTGCGGCAGCAGGGACTGACCCCCGCAGCTTCTCCGGCCCCGTCCACCTCATCCCTTCGCCTCCTTCCCGCTTTCCCCCGCTCTCTTCGTGGCCTTTGCCACCGTCGCTCGGCCAAACTTTCCCTCTTGTGTTCCCTTTCGCCGAAGTAAGCGGCGGCGGCGCAAAGCCCGGAGGGCTCCGATCCTTGGCAAATCCTCTCCCAGGGATACAGCCCAGATCCTATTGCCATTAGCAGGAGGCGCATCAGATAAGACCCACGCAGAAATACAAGACACTCAGGCGCGTGCGCTCACACACACACACGCACACACACGGACGCAGAGAGGCTTCTTCCCAGCAAAGGGCGACGAAGCGCCGGAGCGCCGTTTCCCCTCGGCCGGGGGAGGCGGCGGAGCGGCGGGGGGACCATGGCTTCTAGCTCGGCGCCGGCTGCCTGGATCCCGCGGTGAGCCTCGCTTATGGTGGCTTCCCCCGAGCGGCCAGCCCTGTCCCTCGCTTCTTTCTCCCGCGGTGCCCCCGCGCTTCGTCCGGGCCGGTCCCCCCTTCTTCTCCCAAGCGGAGGGAGCCGGGGCAGGGACTAGGCGGCTGCGAAGCCCCGGTGAAGGAGAGAAGGGAGAAAGAGGAGGAGGAGGAGGAGGAGGAGGAGAAGAAGAAGAAGAAGAAGACGCGGCGCCGGCGGACTCCGTTGGATGAGTTTCTCCATGCGAGAACCCGTGATCCCTGGGACCAGTATGGCTTACCACCCCTTCCTACCTCACCGGGCGCCGGACTTCCCCATGAGCGCCGTTTTGGGACACCAACCTCATTTCTTCCCGGCTTTGGCCTTGCCGCCCAACGGAGCTGCCGCCGCCGCCGCCGCTGCCCTTTCCCTGCCCGGCGCTTTGACCAAGCCGATCATGGATCAACTGATAGGAGCGGCGGATTCGGGCCTCCCCTTTTCCACTTTGGGCCACCAAGCCGCGGCTCACTTGCGGCCTTTGAAAACGCTGGAGCCCGAAGAAGACGTGGAAGACGACCCCAAAGTCCACCTGGAAGCCAAGGAACTTTGGGAGCAGTTTCACAAGAGAGGCACCGAGATGGTGATCACCAAATCGGGAAGGTAAGCAGGCGGGCGGGCGGGCGACGGGGGTTGTTGTCCTTTCAGCCTTTCTTTCTTTCCGCGCAGATTCTCTTAAGAAAAACTCTCGGCTGTTTCTCTTGCGGTGGGGGGAAAAGGGGAAAAAAACAAAACAAAACGACCGGATCCCTCACCCACCAATCCGCAAACTTGGTAGAAGGAGAGAGAGAGATCTGGCTGCATTCGGCGTCTCTCCGGGGGATCTTGCCTTTCGGAGTTTTTTTAAACTTTTACCACTGGATCCCTTCAGAAAACTCCACCAAAAAGAGCTGGGATGTGGCTTGTTTCCTTCCCAGGGAAGTGGAGAAGGAAAAGCAAGGATGAATTCATCCACCCAAACCAAACAACAAACAAAATATTGCCTACAGCTCTTTTCCGGTCATTAAATATATTCTTTCTTTAAAAGAAATCCGCTTGGGTGCCTGGTGCTCACTTCCAAAGGCAACTTTCCTCTACTTTCCAGAAAAGAAAGGAAAGGATCAGGAAAGGGAGGGTGGGAGATTCCCCCCCACCCCCACCCAATAAGGTTAGCTAGGATCTAGATGGTGGTTCCTTTTCTTTTTAATCCCAGTTTTTCAATCAGGTATAAGCGGCTCCCGCTCACCTAGGCCTCACTGTTAAATTCTGGCACATTTGAAAAAAAAAATATGGAAGAACAGATTCAAATTTTGGAGGGAAGGATTCGTGTTTCCCCCCCCACACTGTAATCACCCCTCTTCCTCTTTTAAAACTTTCTGAACTGTGGTTGTTGTTTAAAGTAACAACAATCTGTTGTTTAAACAACTACTATTGTTGTTTAAAAGCAAAGGCGGGCTTCTCTGTTTAATGCATGCCTTAAGAATTAGGAAAAACCTAGCCGGTCGTTGAATTATTTCCTTCTAATGCCGGGAAGAAATATAATAGTTGAGATAGGAAGTTAGGAAGTGTCCTTTCAGGTCTCAGAGGGTTATTGGGATTTAATAAGACCCTTTCAAAATGATCTGAAATCAGCGAATAATTGGCGGAAAAGAAAACAGTTCAAAAACGATTCAAAGAGCTTTGCAGTTATTGGAGTGTATTTGTGTGTGTTTTGGAGAAAAGTGTTGTTTCTCAAGGGGAACCCAACAAGATTTCTATAAAGGGATTTTGGGCCTAGGTTCACTCTTAACCAGCAAAAAATTTGCGCCAACCAGCAAAAAAAAAAAAAAATTGCATGTTTGGAAATATTATTTGGAAATCAGGGGGAAAAAAGTTTTGGAAAGCATGAAAGCCGAGGGAATGGCATCCCACCAATGGGAGATATGGATATTATAAATTGATAATATTAATATAGCACCCTGGTTTTTCTTCCTGAAAAGACCTGAATGCCTTAGACTTGAATGCTCAGCCTTTAAGAAATAGGATTCCCTGTAAAATACGTGTGTGCGCTACCAGCACACCTTAACTGTTGAATTTTCAAATGGTGGAAGGAAGGAAGGAAGGAAGGAAGGAAGGAAGGAAGGAGAAGGGAATGGAATGGAATGGAAGGAAAAAAGGAGGAGAAAGGAAGGTAGGAGAAGGGAAAGGAAGGAAGGAAGGAAGGAAGGGGTGAAACAAAACAAAACAAAGTAATATAACATAATGTTCACCTTGTTTGTCTCTAGGAGAATGTTCCCACCTTTTAAAGTGAGGTGTACAGGTCTGGATAAAAAGGCGAAATACATTTTATTGATGGACATTGTAGCTGCGGATGACTGTAGATATAAATTCCATAATTCGCGGTGGATGGTGGCTGGGAAAGCCGACCCCGAAATGCCGAAAAGAATGTATATCCATCCGGATAGCCCAGCAACCGGAGAGCAGTGGATGTCAAAAGTGGTCACCTTCCACAAACTGAAACTGACCAACAACATCTCCGACAAACACGGATTTGTAAGTGCTTTTAATCCTCTTAATGAGTTTTCTCTGATCTCCTAATCTTCCCCAACAACAACATGCTGATCTTCCTATAGATTATTATTATTATTATTATTATTATAAACTTTTATTCTTTAAACATGAAACTCGGTCAACTGAACATTTAAAAATGTTCTATTATTAGTATCAGTATTATTATTATTTACACTACTAGTAGTGGTGTAGTAGTAATATTAAAATATTATTACTGGTAGTACTTTTAGCTATTTGCAAAATAGGGTGACTAGAAATTCAGGCCTATTGGAGAAACGAGGCGAAAGTTTAGTTCTCTATCAGGACAAACACAGATTTGTAAGTGCTTTTAATTTGCTTTGTGAGTTTTCCCCCAACTTGTATTCTACCTCCTGCCTTGACATAACACTGGTCTTGATGTAGATTATTATTATTATTATTATTATTATTATTCTCTTTTATTCATTAAACATGAAACTCACTCAACTGAACATTTAAAAATGTATGGCAGATATCATTGACTGTAATCATTTTATTATTATTATTACTATTATTCTTATTTTACTACTATTACTACACTAGTAATAGTAGTAGTAGTAGTAGTAGTAGTACTATCAGCTATTTGCAAAAGAGGGTGGCTAGAAATTGAGGCCTGTTGGAAAAAATGAGGCAAAAGTTTACTTCTCTATTAGAAACGGTCAGAAATCTTTCTCCCGCTTGGAATGGACTGTCAATTGGTACACTCCAGATTTTTTGCAATAAACTCCAGGTTTTCAAAGGAAGTTGGAGAAGGAGGGTCAGCGCTATCTTTTTGGCCTTAGGATGACCTGTTAGAATGTCTGTTTGGTTTGCTTAGGAAGGCTTGGTGTGGGGGTGGAAGAGAAGAATAAGATTATGAGGATAGGACAAGGAGAATGAGAATCAAATCTCCAAAGCAAAACTAGGCCTTTGTATATTGGGAAGAACTGATTTCTATTTAAAGTGGGAAAAAGGAAAGGAAAGGAGAGGAGGAAGGAGAGGAGGAAGGAGAGGAGGAAGGAGAGGAGAGGAAAAAATCTCTGTTGACTGCGATATGGAAAGAATGTATTTCACGGTTATTTTCAAATGCAGCGGTCAATTCATATCACCCTTCCTCCAAAACATAATAGTTTCAGTATAAAATGAGGTGTTTATATATTGTATGCAATGTTTTCCCTTTAAAATCAATTAATAGACCAATCTTAGTGAATATCTGTCTGTCTGTCTGTTTATCTACCTTTCTCTCTATCTATCATCTACCTTCCCACCTACTTACCTACCTACAATCTTACATACTGATATATCCATGCATAGAGACACACACATATCTTTGCTCCTGGCTCTCCACAGTGGGGATCCTTTCCCTTATTTTAGGCAAAGGTCACTTGGATCTGGATCTCTACCAATCGTGGTAGGGGAACGAAGGAAGGGGGCAGTTGGTCGGAAGTAGAAATCTTTATAAAAACATCCAAATAAGCCGCAAGGAAGTTCGAGGAAGCTACACAGGCAGGGTGTGGATTAATAAAAAAAAGTGAAGCGGCCCTGTTTAGATATAATGCGTGCAGCAACGTTTCCCCTCAATTAAATCTTGTTCTCCCAACCCCTTTTCTTTCTCGTTTGTTTCCCACCCACCCCTTTAGACCATCTTAAACTCTATGCATAAATACCAGCCTCGGTTCCACATCGTCCGAGCCAACGATATCCTGAAGCTACCCTACAGCACATTCCGCACTTATGTCTTTCCGGAAACGGAATTCATTGCCGTCACAGCCTATCAGAATGATAAGGTAAGAAAGGGGGCTGAGGTTGGAGAGGGAGCACGTGGGGAGGGTGTCCAGCGGCGTGAGCCTCAAATAAGGTTTTGGTTTGAGCAGGAAGGATTTGGAAGGTCTTCCCCGTACAGGTATCGGCACCTGGCCTTCTTCGGTTCCTCTTTTTCCCCCCTTTTCTTCCTTCACCCGCTTCAAAAGAAAACCAGGAGTTAAATATCCTGCCGGAACAGGGGCCATTTGGTCAAGCTCATTAAAGAGGAGTGGGTATTATTATGAGGAAGGGTGTTAATTGGATTTGCTGCTCTGTGCATACCTTGGATTGGGAACAGCCCATGCCCAAAGCTTTCAGTTTCCTCCTTGAAGGAACCTTGGCCATGGCGCCAAAAGATAGCTTTGGTTTCCCATTAATTTTCTCAATCCTTTCCTTTGAACTTCTTTTTTTGTTACCTGGTTGTGTGTATATGTGTGGTGTGTGTGGGGGGGGATATTTTCCTTTGGGTGGCAGTGAGGGAAGAAGCTGGCTTGGACAATATTTGGAAAGATGGGATATGGGATAATAGCTGGGTGGGTGGGTGGCTTGGCGGGTTAGCTACGGAGATCCCTTCTTTTCTCCCCGACTATGTGCGAGAGAGGTGGAACTTGAAGAGCTTGAGGTAGCCTGAAAGGTCTGGGAAAGAATGCAATGTCTAACTGCCGGACCTTGGAGCTTTTATTTGTTCAGTGGGTTTCTCTCGCTGTAAATTAGCGGCTTGCCATGGGCTTTTATGAAGTGTTAGCAAGTTTGCAAAGAAGAAAGTTTGTTCCAGAATGGAGGGAAGAAGGAAGGAACGAAAAGAGAGGGAACAGAGGGATGGATGGGTGGAAGGAAGGGAGGAAGGAAGGGAGGGGGAAGGGAAGAAGGAAGAAAGGAAGGAAGGAGGAAGGGAAGAACAAAGAAGGAAGGGAAGTTGGGAGGAAGGAAGGAAGGCAGAAAGGAAGGGAAGGGAAGGAAGGAAGGCTTATTTAATTGCTTTCACTGCCTTGTGGTGTGTGGAATTCAGAGCCAACCTGCCTTCTGGATCAAAATGGCAGCAGGTTTGCAAAGAAATTGCGGGGAGACTGAAAAGAGGCAGTTGTGAAGTCCGAGGTTTGTCAGATTTTCTCTTTGTGAAAGCAGAGCCCAGTGCAAGCCAATGCTTAGATAGAATAAGAAGAAATGGGGAGAAGAGGGAAGAAATAGAGCCAGTTCCTCCCAAGATAGGCTTCTCACGCCTTGGTCTCTGGTTGCTTGTCTGGAGCTCCTTTGCAGAAGGGTGGAATTGAACAGGTCTTCACCTGTCTGAAGGTGCCGGGACTTACTTAAGACCTCCTCTCCAGTAGACCCTTCTCCTGCTCTTTGGCCAAGCCAAAAGTCTGAAAGGTCTACAAATTGAAGCAAACAAAGACATTGATTTTCAGAAGGTGGCAAGAGCCCTGGGTGTTCTTGGTTCACACTCTAGAAAGGAGTGGAATGGAATGGAATGGAATGGAATGGAAAGGAAAGGAAAGGAAAGGAAAGGAAAGGAAAGGAAAGGAAAGGAAAGGAAAATAAATTCCCATCAGAGTTGATTTAAATCTAAACTCAATGAAGCTGAATTGGGCTTGCACCAAGCTGGGTATTTCTAGGACTGTGATCTAAACAGGAAAGTGGTGGCTTATAGTGAGATGATGATGATGATGATGATTTATTATTATTATTATTATTATTATTATTATTATTATTATTATTATT